CTTTCCACGTCCGCAGAGGCCTTGCTCTGCACAGAGACATAGTGGATGTCTATTTGAGAATAGTCCTTTTCAGTCATACCCTCAAAGGTAAAGAATATCTTCGCCTGAGAGACCTGCCTGGCGCCTCCCTTGTTATTCTTTTCTGCGTTTAGTGAGGATCTTTCCACTTTCTCAATCCTTTCATCCCTCATATTTTTTTTCAGTCCACATACTGTGTTATGGGGAGCATGTCTCTCCAAATAGTTTTACATATTAAGATGCCATTTTAAGCATCTGCTGCTTATCCGACCATTACCGTTCCCATCTCATCTCCTCCACTGCCCCAGTTCATTTTATGGTGTTCCTCCTTTGATTTGACATGGATTTTATCTTCTTGCTTTATGGCTAGGTTCCAGGGTGACTAATAAATCTCTGGAAGTAAGAAATAATTTATGGGCATATCCCAAAGCTGACTGAAGTGGGAGCCACTGTTGGGCTGTGTGCATAAACACCTTTGCTTCTGTTTGCAAGTCAAACAGTGGGAGGGTTGATAGAAAAACCCTCTTGTCTATATCCTGGGGGAAATCATCCCACATACAAAGGTGTTTTGTGGATTTGCCTCTTCTCATTGCTAAGGATGTTTGTACATTTGTGGTGAGGGAACAGTCAGCCTCTTTAACAGAACACAGTGGAAATTTCTGTCCTCCAGCCCTGGCGTCAGTTTTGGCACACAAGGCTTTTTGTGTCAGGCCCTGAATCCATGCCTTGCGCCATGTTGTGCTTAGAGCAGGGGTAGGCAACCTCGGCTCTTTTATGACTCATGGACTTCAACTCCCAGAATTCCTGAGTCAGCTATGCTGAGGGAAAAGGGAGAGGTTTCCAAGCTGAGCTATGCTGATTCAGGAATTCTGGGAGTTGAAGTCCATGAGTCATAAAAGAGCCGAGGTTGCCTACCCCTGGCTTAGAAGCTTATTAAAAGAACACGTGAAATGAACTCTGGGTTCATACCTAACCCGAGGGGGCTCTACTTTCCGAGGAATTTTTCAGTGGAAATATTTGGAAGAAATTCCATGAAGTTCCTCATGACTCTGAACATAGTTTGGTGTAAACCAGGAATGTCCAACTTGAAGACTTGTGGACTGCAACTCCCAGAATTCCACAGTCAGCATGACTCTTCAAGTTGCCAAGGTTGGACTCCCCGGATATAAACCTATCGCAGTACGGAGCTCTCGGCAGGAGAGGTTGTGATTGGCTTGGAAGCATGTTGATGGTAATCCCACTTCGCTAGAGGTCAAACTTGCTTGGATATTGCCCAGACAGTATTAGGATGGGACACCACTGGGAAATCCAAAGCCCATCGTGCTCATCTAAAATAAGAAGGGTTTCATGTCATTGGTTCCCAAAATTCCATCCCATGCTCATAAATTAAGGGGAAAGAACAAGAGCATTGTACGATTGCTACAACTCTTAAAAAATGTTTGTGTTGTCTTTTCCCAGGTTTGATTATCAGGAGCTGTTGCACAACTCTACCTTTTGTATCATTCCCCGAGGGAGACGTTTGGGATCCTTCCGGTTCCTAGAAGCTTTGCAGGTACGTGATTATTATTACTGTATTGTTCTTAGATTTTTAATCCCATCTTTTTATATATAACTCAAGGTGGTGAACATACCTAATCTTCCTACTTCCTCTTTTCCCCACAGCAACAACCCTGCAAAGTGGGTTGGTCTGAAAAGGAGGGATTGGTCCAAAGTCAGCCAGTCGGTTTTCATACTTAAGGGAGGCTTCTGATTTTTAAGTCAGCATCTTCACCACTACTCCTCACCACACTGGCTCTGTATCACAGATTTAAATTGTTTTAAAACTTATTTCTATTTGTTGTAAATACACATGTAAATACATGTGCGCGCGTGCACACACACACACAGAGTAACCGTACAAGGAAAATTTAATATAAAGTAATCCATTTAAGATCAAAAGCTCTATTACACAGAGAGTCCTCAACTTCAACAATTTGTTTAATGACTGTTCAAAGTTACAACAACACTGAAAAAAGTGACTGACCACTTACAACCATCACAGCATCCTCATGGTCATGTGATCAAAATCCAGACACTTGGCAACTGGCTCATATTTATGACGGTTGCAATGTCCCGGGGTCATGTGATCACCTTTTGTGACCTTTTGACAAGCAAAGTCAATGGGGAATCCAGATTCACTTAACAACTGAGTTACTAACTTAACGACTGCAGTGATTTACTTAAAAGCTATGAAAAGAAAAGTCATAAATTGGGGCAAAACTCACTTAACAACTGTCTTGCTTAGCAACAGAGATTTTGGGCTCAATTGTGGTTGTAAGTCAAGGATTACCTGTACAACAATGCTTTGATGTGCATTGAAGTGGTTCTTTGTTCAATGTTATCTTCAACTTGGGAATAAAAAAGACAGATCATTTTATGCTTGTAATGTTGACATCCTAAATTGTAATTAACCTGAATAGAATATTTTTCTTTCCCTTCTCTCTTCCCAGTACTCTAAGGTATCTGAACAGTAGAATGTTAATCACCTCTAATCGTATTATAGAAACATCCCTGTGTTGGAATAATGCAGTGTATCAAGATTTATAACAGCATAATAAAAAGGTTAACAACAATCTTGCAATAATACCTTTAACACCATCAAACAACATCTACCTATCTCAGGTCCTGGAGAAGGACTCCATAGGCCAGTGATGGCAAACCTTTTAGAGACCGAGTGCCCAAACTGCAACCCAAAACCCACTTATGTCGGGTGCCGGGTGGGCGTGGCCCATTGGGTGGGTGTGGCCCATTGGGTGGGCGTGGTCAATTGGGGTGTGTGGCTGTGGTGGTAACGGCAGACTGAGTGGCCTAGGACTGGGGCGACAGTGCGCGTGCCCACAGAGAGGGCTCTGAGTGCCACCTGTGGCACGCATGCCAAAGGTTCGCCACCATGGCCATAGGCGGATAAAAATGCCACATCCAGTCTAAACCTCTGGCAGACTGTGCGACCAGCTCTAATGAAGTTATTTCTACTTCTTGACAACTGCCTTTCCAAACTTGTCCCAGTTTCTCAGAGGCTCCCTCCCATTTCTGTACTAGATGAAACAACCAGATGAAATCATTGTTTTAGGTGAATTTCCTAGCGTTGCAAAGGTGCTAGACCGATCTTCAGAAATAGCCCAGCTGATAGGTCACAGACCCAAAGGAGCAGTTGCACCGATCAAAGCCTCCCATTCACGCCTCCCTCCCCCCCCACTTTGCAAAGGGTGCCAGACCTGTTTCAGAAATAGCCTGGCTAACAGATAAGAGGGGCAGCTTGCAAGGGAACAGAAGAAACTAGGAAGGAGCAACTGATCACAAGTGAAGTAACACTGCTGGAGCCGGACTAAATCTGCAGTAGCCTTCAGAATGAGCAAGACAGCATAGAAATAGAGAAAAGAGTGCCTGCTGCTATTTATTATTATGTGTGAGTTGTATGTATGTTTGTGTAAATCGGTTTTGACTCTGGCAACTGCTTGGTCAAGGCCCTACAGCACTGATGGCGAACCTTTTAGAGACCGAGTGCCCCAAAATTGGCCCCGCCTCCGCTCCATCCCCTGCCCTGCCCCCGCTCCCACCCCGCCTGTCCGCAGGGCCACTCACTGCCTCCAGGGCCCGCTGATCGCCAAGGCAGCCCAGCAGCGCCATCGCGGCCACGCCCTCTGCCCGTGCCCCGCAGCATCTTGTCTACGCTGCCTGGCTGCCATGTCCTTGGCTGCGCTGCTCTGCGTGGGCCACGCTTTGGGGTGACTCTCCTCCAGGGGGGCTGCTGGTGAGGAGGGGGTCACGGGGGGAGGCAAGGCTGGGGCAACGGCATATGTGCCCACAGAGAGGGCTCCAAGTGTCGCCTCTGGCACCCGTGCCATAGGTTCGTCACCACTGCCCTACAGCTTTTTTGGCAAGATCTTCAGAAGTGGTTTGCCATTTCCTCCTTACTAGGGCTGAGAGGAAGGGACTGGCCCAGGGCCACCCAGCTGGCTTCTTGCCTAACGTGTGTCTAGAACTCATGGTCTCCTAGTTCCTAGCCTGGTGCCTTAACTACTATAGGTAGTCCTCGAGTTACGACCACAATTGAGCCCAGCATTTATATTGCTAAGTGAAACATTTGGTTAAGTGAATTTGCCCCATTTAGTTGTTAAGTGAATCATTGCATTTGTTAAGTTAGTAACGAGGTTGTTAAGTGAATCTGGGTTCCCCATTGACTTTGCTGGTCGGAAGGTCACAAAAGGAGATCACATGACCCCGGGACAATGCCACCGTCATAAATATGAGCCACTTGCCAAGCATCCGAATTCTGATCACGTGACCAGCGGGATGCTGCAACGGTTGTAAGTGTAAAAAACGGTCATAAGTCACTTTTTTTTTGTGCCGTTGTAATTTTGAACGGTCAGTAAATGAAGTGTTGTAAGTCAAGGACTACCTGTATATCAAACTGGCTCTCCACTGCCCATAATAAAAACAGCACGGCCCTTCTTGTTGGCAGAAATAGCAAAAAAGAAAAAAAAATCTGTTGTGTACTCATTAGTGATGGAGCCAACACCACTCAAGTGATAGAATCCATCATTCCTTTCCTGCTTTAGATTTACTTGTGCATCCTTAGAGCGGTCTGAAACCCAGATCCAGCAGTTTTTCAAAAGAGCACTAAACTGTATATAAAAGCATGAAGAGCTGACAGGCCCAGCCAGTCCCTAAAGGGCAGCTGCCTTTGCAGAAATCCAGTCTTTCCAGCCATCCAACTGAGATGGTCGCAGAAGGCAACTAATCAAAGTTGGGCAGATCCCAATCCTAACCGTATCAGCCACCATGTTCTCGGTGGAGCTTACTGGATCATTCCCAGAGCTAAAAATGGTGTCAGGAAAACACCACTTTAAAATGAGAACTGCGCAATGTCTATGGCAGGGCTCTTCAAACTTGGCCCTTTTATGACTTGTGGACTTCAACTCCCAGAATTCCTCAGCCAGGCACGCGTGCCTGGCTGAGGAATTCTGGGAGTTGAAGTCCACAAGTCATAAAAGGGCCAAGTTTGAAGACCCCTGGTCTATGGAGATTCTCAGTCATCCAGTTCACCTTTGGGAGAACTGCTAAAGATGACTTTATACTGCTTCAGCCGGATATGGGCTGGATATGAGATAAAGGCAGCCTCCTTAGGACGTGGCTTTTAAAAAATGACACGGGTGTGTTGGTGCCACGGTTGGGAATGTGAGAATGAGGTCCTTTCTCTCTGAGCTTGGTGGTTTGCTTTTTGTTACCAAAATTTTTATTCATTTATTTATTCATTTGTATCCCATCTTTATTATTTTACAAATAACTCAAGGCGGCGAACATATCCAACAGGGTTTCCTATTTTCCCCATAACAACAACCCTGTATTTACTTCAAGTTTTTGGCAAAACCATGCCCATAGCGAACCACTGGTTTGCTTAATGACCACAGTGTTTGCTTAAAGACCACCATAAAAAAAGGTCATAAAATCAGGTGGGTCAAGTAACTGATCCTTTTATGATCATCATGATAAGGTAAGATAACCTTTATTGTCATTTTCTTTACTGTGGGCACAACGGCACACATCAAAAATGAAATTTAGTTGCCCACTCTCAAAGTGAAACACATACATGACACACACCTAAACATACTATGAACAACATATGTATAGACCCACACCCCTACATATACGTAGCAAATAAATATTAAATACTGTCCATCTTGAATACATAACGGAAGGAGGAAGCTTGAGCGTTCACAAGGTTACTGCTGTATGGAATGAAACTATGGCTGAATCTGGATGTTCTGCTACGGATACCACGGAGCCCCCTCCTCCCAGAAGGTAACAAGGAAAACAGGTTGTGACTCAGCAACCATGATGGGTTATAAGTCGAGAACTTTCTATAAACACTACTGAAAATCCTTCGAGCTTCATGCTCCCAGGTCACTTTCTCTCTCCTCTTCTGCCTCCTTGTGATCCTTGCTCTCTTCTCTCATTGATCCAGGCCGCTTGCATCCCGGTCCTGCTCAGCAATGGATGGGAGCTGCCATTTTCGGAGGTGATTGATTGGAGTAAATCGTCCATAGTTGGGGATGAGCGGCTTCTTCTGCAGGTATCAGAAGCAGCTGGCTGGGGAACTCTGGGAGATGAAGTCCCTACTTCTTAAAGTCATCAGAGTTGGGAAACACTGCTCTGATGGAGCCCTTGTTCATTATTATTTAATTTTTAAAAACCACCTGAAAAGAACATTGTCCTTTGCATTATTATTATTATTATTATTATTATTATTATTATTATTATTATTATTATTATTATTATTATTATTATTATTATTATTATTTATTACATTTGTATCCCGCCCTTCTCCTTGCGGACTCAGGGCGGCTAACAATCAGATAAAATACGAAAATACAATACACGTTTAAAATTAATTAAAAAGAAATATTTGAATCTGTTCCAATTAAAAGTAATTAAAACCCCTTTAAAATCCCTTAGGCCAGTCCCGCAAGCTGGAACAA